AGGGTTTAGGTTTCAGGATTTAGGTTTAGGGTTTAGGACGTAGGGGTTTGAGGTTGGAGTTGAGTTGAGAGGCTGTCAGGTCCCTGCGGCTGGAGTTTGTGGCTTTTGGCGGGGTGGGTAATGGGTTCAGGGTCCCTTGAAAAGGCTTTTTTAGGGTGCGTATAGGGATGTGTGAGTTTCATATAGGGGCCTGAGTTCGGAATTGTTAAGAACGCGGCTTTGGTAGCCCCAATCCAAAGTTTGAACCTTGTTCCAACTCTGGGGGTTCAAGAGGGTTTAGGGTCTAGGGCTATTGAGTGGCTTTGGATGCCATGTAGAACGACACCCCAGGCGCTAAAACATAAGGTAGCTTCCAGTTCTGTGCCATTCCCAACCAGCACCCTGAACCCTGAACCTCATTCCCGACAATAGCCACTTGAAACCAAGGTATGAACCCCGAACCAGGAGTCACAGCCAGTGAGCTGTAGGGGATATATGGCAAACCCTAAACCCTAAACTCTAAAGAAAGGGGCTATCCCAGAACCCTAAACCCCGCAAGCCTTAAACCCCAAAACGATGTAGGAATATTGCTGCAAATAACATAGTGATATTTGAAGATCATATGGGTTTAGGGTCCAGGGATATGTGCCCCATAATTGGTGAAAAGAACATGATAAATGAAATGGAAGCTGGGATTATGTCAGGCGTTTATGGGCATACATTGCAATCCTAGATTTATAGTATACTTGTTTCTGGAACCTCAAACCGACCTCAACACATCCCTGTAGAAACCAGCATTGAATTTTCCATGTTCTCTATTCCCCAGTACTGGAGCAAAATTATTAACCCCTATAGACCCCTGCATACCTATATACCCATATTTTCTAAACCCTAAGCTGTTAAGCATAAAGTCCAAGCCCGTAAGCCCTATAAACCCTGAAGCCCTGAACCCACATCCTAAACATAATACCCTAAGCCCCAAACCTCATCCCCTAAACATTAGGTCTGTGGTCGTTTGGAGCTTGACGTCAGCCACTGGGCAGATTGAGTGTCCGCGTTTTAAGCTTTCAGGTGTGAAGCTTTGGATTTCCTAGGGTTCAGGTTCAGGTTTTAGTCTAGGGTTTAGGGTTAAGGATTCAGGAATAGGTTTTAAGGGTTTAGGGACTTAAGGTTCAGGACTTGGGGTTTAGGGCTTAGGGCTTAGCTTGCCAAGCCCCAAGGGTTTAGCCCTTGACTGCATGACATGGCGGGAAGCTCGATTGGGATGATTCTGTCCTTGTTAGTGGGTTTGGTGTGGAGGATTAGAGTCCCTGTCGAAGATGGGGTATATGGGGATCTTTTTACCTGGGTTTCTCGGGCTCCAGGGTAGGGTGTATGAAAGCGTGACAAGCACGATCAGGGGTGGTGGGAGCAAAAATGGAGAGCGAAGCTCTAGATCCTAAACCCTAAACGAAAACCCTATATAGGGATTCCCAACATTAGGGGTCCATTTTTGGGGGTCCCTACAATGAGGATTGTAGTATTTGGGGGTCTATCTATTGGGGGGAAACTACTAGCATGTGTATTCCCTTAATACCTATTAATCCCCAGTAAGGCAAGGGACAACATTGGGCTTAAAGGCTTTCAGGTAGGAATCTGTCAAGTGCCGCCAGATGTTACCCTGCATAGTAAGTAGATTCTGGGAACTTCGTAGCGTAGTTGATAATCTCCCATAACGTATTGGTGTGTACATATTTATATATACAAATCCCCAACCCTAAACCCTAAGCCCTAAACCCTAAACCCTAAACCCTAAGCCCTAAACCCTAAACCCTAAACCCTAAACCCTAGCAGCAAGGTTCTAGAGGTTTTTAACAGGCCGCTCCCCCAACAAAGCCTGTAGAAATCAGTTTAGTAGGGATAGGGAAGTTTGCCGGGATTTCCCTAAACTAGCTAAATGCTACACCCACAACCCTTCGGAGGGACCCCGTGATCCGTTTATCGTCTTCATATATACCTGGGGTCGTAAGGACCGCCCCATTTTGGAGCGACACTCTAAACCAAAACCCCTTCCATCAGCCCTGAACCATTACATGTATAGCCTGAACCCTAAACCTTACAACCCCCCAAAAGCTCAACCCCCATGCCCTGTACCCCTTTGACGATCCCGAGGCAAGCCTGAAGAGTGAGACTATCTTTGATGATTTGCAGCAGCCTGTTGCCCTTCGTTGCAAGCAGTTAGTATGGTGCGGAGTGCTGCAGTATCGTGTGGTATAGTAAAGTGTAGTATAGTCTAGTATAGTATACTATATTGTAGTAAAGTAGAGGGGCTTAGGGTTTGGGGTGAACTGCTGCTGAGTTCAGGCGGTAGCTAGGTTTGGAGGCTTGTGTTCCGGGCTATGGGTTTCTGGTTGTTTTTTGTTTGAGGCTAAGCATGTAAGGTCTGATTTCCTCGTTTTTTGGTTTTGCGGATCAGTTTTCCGTGTTTGTGGGACTCGGAGACCTGCGCAGGGTGCGCGTCCCTGTCATGTCCGTGTGAGTACTGTTTCTGGTGAGATAGTACAGTAGTCCCCACTACAGAGTAAGATGCCATCTTTTGTGCTATTGACTTACCGGGTTCAAATCGTTAAAAACACCCAGACCCTAGACTCTAAGCCCTAAACCTTAAACCCTCAACCCTAAGCCCCAAACCCTAAACCCTAAACCCTAAGCCCCAAACCCTAAACCCTAAACCCTAAGCCCCAAACCCTAAACCCTTACACATGTGCACATCTCCTGTAGTTGTGCCTGGCCTTTTGATCTCATGAAGCAGGGATGAGTTTGTGGTTCCTGCCCCTGTAAGAAATGAACATGCGCTTGAACATGCACGCTCCGCTATAGGGCTTATATAGGGCTTATATAGGGCTTATATGTATGGGAGCTATGTAGGGGTAATATAGGGCTAAATAGGGATAATGGAAAAGAAAATGGCCGCTGCTATTTAGGGTTTAGCCTCGCCCTGTAATGCAGATCAAGGATTCTTATTCCCCCTCCTTTACAGGGCCTTATCATCAGGATCCCTATTTTTCATCCCCATTAAGGCGAGGTGGTTATAACTCAGGGTTCTACATCAGTGGCAAGCTTCAGGGTTTAGGGTTTAGGGACTCATTCCTATTCAGAGGCATGTTTACTATCAATGGAGGCGGACATGTTCAAGCAGATTGGGAAGGGATGAGTTCAGGGTTCACGCTGCTGGTGGAGGGTTTGGGGTTTAGGATTTAGGGTTCAGGATTCAGGGTTTAGGGCTTATGGTATAGAGTTCAGGGTTTACGGTTTAGGGCGTGACAGGGGTATATCGTATCGCGTTTAGTTCAAGGAAATGTTGGATTCAGGATTTGGGGTAGGGTTTAGGCCGTCAGGGTTGTGAGGGTCTGGTGATTTCGGGACATGTTGTTTTGGGGCTTAAGAGCTTGGAGTATGGGCCATTAGGATCGGTTTAGGACGCAGTGTTTAGGACCTCTGCGCATGCTTAGTTGCGAACGAGGCCGGGGGTTTATGTGCGTTGTAAAACCCTAAGCCTTAACCCCAAACCCCTACACCCTAAACCCTAAACCCCTAAACCCTGACCTTAAGCCCGTAAACCTAAACCCTATATGATGCATGGTTTTTCATCGGTCATAGGAGATATGTAAAGGATGGACATTGGATTCGTGACGCAGGTTTTTGATTGGAAAACGATA